TTTTTTTGTGTCTATCACTACTTTTTCTCAGCTCTCACTGGACCGATTTCTTTTAACAATACGTCAAAAGATCACAAATTGTATCTAGTTGAAGACATTACCCTTAAAAATTTAAAAATTTTCCCTCGTTCCCCGCAAATGGGGGAAATATCCAAAAAAATTACAAATTTAAAAATCGACAAATTTTGTCATTTTTTTCACTTTTTTTTCTTAAAACTTCCATAACTTTTTCAAAAATCAACAAATCAACATAATTTTTTTTTAAACTAAAACCTTAGATATTTTCCTTTCATTTGATATAATTTTTTTGAAAATTTAACACTTAACCTGCTCATGGGGGGGGATTTAAAATTGCAACTTTTTTACAAAAACTAACTTTTTCAACTTAATTTTTGAAAATGTTCCGGAAATACTGCGTCCTTTAAACATATATCAAATTAAAGCTTATTTTATGTACTATAAAATGAAAAAAAAAAATTTGTCCCGACACCTTATCTTCTATGTGCAAATGGCTGTCGAAATTATAAAAAAAATGTAATATTTGCGATAAAAATCACCTTTTATAACGATGTTTTTTGTACTTAAAACTGCCATAACTTTTTCAAATATTAACTAATCAAAATAATATTTCTTTATATTGAAACCTTAGGTAATTTTCTTTCATTTGATATCATTTTTTTTTGAAAATCTAACACTTATTCTGCTCACAGGGGGGATTTAAAATAGCAACTTTTTTACAAAAACTAACTTTTTCAACTTAATTTTTGAAAATGTTCCGGAAATACTGCGTCCTTTAAACATATATCAAATTAAAGCTTATTTTATGTACTATAAAATGAAAAAAAAAAATTTGTCCCGACACCTTATCTTCTATGTGCAAATGGCTGTCGAAATTATAAAAAAAATGTAATATTTGCGATAAAAATCACCTTTTATAACGATGTTTTTTGTACTTAAAACTGCCATAACTTTTTCAAATATTAACTAATCAAAATAATATTTCTTTATATTGAAACCTTAGGTAATTTTCTTTCATTTGATATCATTTTTTTTTGAAAATCTAACACTTATTCTGCTCACAGGGGGGATTTAAAATAGCAACTTTTTTACAAAAACTAATTTTTTCAACTTATTTTTTGAAAATTTTCCGGAAATACTGCGTCCTTTAAACATATATCAAATTAAAGCTTATTTTATGTACTATAAAATGAAAAAAAAAAATTTGTCCCGACACCTTATCTTCTATGTGCAAATGGCTGTCGAAATTATAAAAAAAATGTAATATTTGCGATAAAAATCACCTTTTATAACGATGTTTTTTGTACTTAAAACTGCCATAACTTTTTCAAATATTAACTAATCAAAATAATATTTCTTTATATTGAAACCTTAGGTAATTTTCTTTCATTTGATATCATTTTTTTTTGAAAATCTAACACTTATTCTGCTCACAGGGGGGATTTAAAATAGCAACTTTTTTACAAAAACTAACTTTTTCAACTTAATTTTTGAAAATGTTCCGGAAATACTGCGTCCTTTAAACATATATCAAATTATAGCTTATTTCATGTACTATAAAATAAAAAAAAAAAATTTGTCCCGACATCTTATCTTCTATGTGCAAATGGCTGTCGAAATTAAAAAAAAATGTAATGTTTACGATAAAAATCACCTTCTATCGGAATGTTTTTTGTACTTAAAACTCCCTTAACTTTTTTAAATATTAACTAATCAAAATAATATTTCTCTATATTGAAACCTTAGGTAATTTCCTTTCATTTGATATCATTTTTTTTTGAAAATCTAACATTTATTCTGCTCATAGGGGGGAATTAAAATAGCAACTTTTTTACAAAAACTAACTTTTTCAACTTAATTTTTGAAAATGTTCCGGATATACTGCGTCCTTTAAACATATATCAAATTAAAGCTTATTTTATGTACTATAAAATGAAAAAAAAAAATTTGTCCCGACACTTTATCTTCTGCATGTAAAC